AAATAAATCCAATCATTTTTTGTAATTTCCTAATTAAAGCTGTCATGTTTTATTTTTTCAAAACAAGCGAAAGTCATTAAATGTATCATGTGTTGCTTCCTACTGTCAGCTTTTCTGTAAAAGGCCAAAGTGATTTATTTTGAAGGAAGCTACAGTGTGTTGTGTGTTTGTCTCCTTYGTTAAACAGCCTAAAAATGTAATTATATTGTTGCTGTTTGTTGTAAATGCTCAGTTTCACATGTCTACAAAGTCAAAGGATAAGAATTATTTTRTAACATACTGTATTGCATTTCTCTTTGTAATTTTAAAGTGATAGCTTTTCCCAATTTATTTATGTTTTTTATGTAGGCATTTATTTTGATAAAAGCTTATGCAAAGCAGATATGTTTAAAACATTTGGGCAAATAGTTTTGAATAACAGAGCTGATTTTATATTGTTCCAAAAGTCCCATGCTGCAGTGAGATGTGACGTCAATGATACGGGAGGAAAGAGCTGCAGAATTAATTCATTAGGAACTGGAAAACCTTTTTTTTTTACTAAAAGGACTGTATAATATATCTCTGCTCAAATTAGTGCCTGTGGATGTTTTAGTTGTTTTTTTCTGGTTTGTTTGATCTATTGAATGCAGGCGGATATGTGAGAATCAGGTTTAGTCCTAATAGAAAAGGTTAAACACAATAAAGTGTAGCCTCTCTGACTTCTGACCCAGTGACCTTGTAGATGAACAGTTTTGAGCAGCCTCATCATCGTTATATGCTCTCTTATTACTGTGCCCTGTCATCCGTAAACTCCAGACAAAAATCTTTTCTTTTTTTCCTGTTCTTTTTTTTCTGAATCAGTTCATTTCAATGTCTTTTTTCTGCATAGTCAAGTTTTAATTTGTTGGAACCGGACCAGACTAATAAGTATTAATTTATGTCAAATCTTGCCGGGGCTCCTCTGCAGCCACAGCCTTATCAGGTCACCCTCCAGCTTCTGCTTAGCGTTCAATTAGGTCCCTCATCCCATCAGAGCAGATCATGTCAGAGCTGCACCTACTGGCAGYAGGCTGAGCGAGCCCTGCCTCCTTCAGTGTCTGCTTGTCTTTCTGTTGTCCAGTGTTGGACACTGAGGTAATGTGCCCGGGGGAATCTTATTGAAAATAAAATGCTATTCCAAGTCTTTGGAGGAAACAGTGATGCTGTAAGCTTATTTCCCAGCCTTGCTCAACTCTTCACAAGCGTCTGACAGATGCCCGAGCAGCCTGCTTCGTTGCTGAGGTTCGAGATTCCACAGGTGTTGGCTCATGTGCTGGGCGGGCCTGCAGAGAGCAGAAACACGAATGTCACTGTGGAGTATAAAATCAGAGAACGGGTTTGACAGCAGGTACAGAAGGGACATCACAGTGAACCATAGACAGGTCCAGCCTGACCGTTTCTCCTTCAGACCACCAAACAAACAGGAATAATGAGTCGCAGCCCGGACAGGATTTCATCTTATCGCCGTCACTTTGAGGACAGCAGCAGCTCAACCTACCAGGTAAGGGTGTCCAGTCCGTCTCCCACCAGGGGACAGACCCGTCATGGCTCCTCCGGCTACTCTGCCAGATCTGGGTCCAGCAGCATGTGTGTGGACTCAGTGGGACGAAGGACCTCCTCTGCAKTGCGCAGGTCTCGCACGGCTGGAGTTGGGTATGTGTCTCTGAACACTAAATATTATTTTAGGTTTCAGATTTTCTTCCCCCTCCTGATTCTCATCTCTTCTTGTTGATGTGAATCACTTTATGTTTGCAGTGTCAGCGCAGGAGCCTTGGTGTGCGTTGGTCCAAGTGGAGAGCGTCCCATAGACCTGGATGCAGCTGCAGCTGAGAACCAGGAGTTTCTCAGCACCCGAACAACTGAGAGACAGGAAATGATTGTCCTCAATGACAGACTGGCTGTTTATATTGACAAGGTGAAACATGAATGTCACAGCAGCTTAAAACATATTTTCTTTTTTTTTTAAAAATTAAACCAAATTTTAATGACTAAAAGCTTGTTGAGAGGAAATTTTTCTGTGGTCACAGGTTCGATCACTTGAGCAGAAGAACAAACTGCTGGAGGCAGAGATTGAGGCCTACCAAGGCCGCTTTGAGAAACCAACAGGTCTTCGTTTGTTGTATGAGGARCAATTAAAGGAGCTGAAAAGGATTGCTGAGCAGATGAAAGTCCAGCGGGTGAGGAAAATTACTTTCATCTTGTTTTCTTCCCCCTTTAACATTTGAAAGACCCAGTAAAGCATAAATTTTTACACCTCACTGAACTGTATGTACTCAAGCAATGATACAAGACGTCGACTTGGTGTTTTCATGTTTTTTTTTTACCTGGTAACAGGCTTATTTCTGACAGGAAAATGGAGAGATACCTCAGTAAGTTTAGGTATTGTACAGCTGTCATCAGCTATGCTTCATGCACAGATGATAAACTGGCTTGATTCGCAGACACACATACAGTTGTGCACACACAGATCTGAGCAAAATGAGCTGATGGACATGTTTTTGTGCTCGCCCTCAGATCTGACAGACAAAAGAAATTACCTCTGGTTGCTTGGTTTTTAGGACCTTTCTTTGGAGGCTAAGGAAACTGCAGCTGCTCAACTAGAGGCAATCAAAATCAAATACGAGGAAGCAGTGGAGCTAAGAAAGAAGGCTGAGTTAGACATTGAAATCATCCGCCCGGTGTGTACCATCCTCCAGGTTCTCTATAAGTGATGACAAATTTGCAATCCGACAAAAAGACACAAATCAATGATGGTCTTTGCTCTTCAGGATGTCGACAGAGCAACTTCCTCTCGCATTGTGTTGGAGAAGAAGTTGGAGCAGCTGGAAGTGGAAATAGAATTTTTGAAACGAATCCATCAGCAGGTAGGACAACATGTTTATGCAGGTAAAGTCCAGATTTCCATTTTTTTGGATGGTTCCTGAATGTCTCCTTTTTGTTTAGGAAATTGATGAACTTTTGAAAAAGATCTATTCAGCTCATGTTTCAGCTGAAAGTGCCTTTGCTTTGCCTGATCTGGCTGGTGCGTTGAAACAAATCCAAACCCAGTACGATGACATTGCGGCCAAAAATCTTCAGGTAAGTCAAAAGCAGAAGATAAGTGTTACAAATTCTGTTTGTCACAATTATCTTTATGAGCATTTTAATTTCCTTCTTTTTTAGGAAATGGATTCATGGTATAAAAACAAGTTTGAAGATCTAACCAAAAAGTCATCCAGGCATGTCGATAAAGTTCGAAGCGTTAGAGAAGAAATAGCAAATGCCAAAAAAGATGTAAGTATTAGAAATTAAAATGTATAAAGAAATAAAAAATAGTACAGTATTAACAATATTTTTTATAATCCCATTAAAATACCACTAGATCCAAAGTAAAGAGCGTGACTTGGACTCATTGAGGACCAGAAATGAAGCCCTTGAAGCTCAGATACGAGAGCGGGCAGAAAAGTACAAGAAAGAACTGGAAGACCTGCAGGTAAATGCTGCTTGTCTCAGGGTGTACACCTGWTCCTACCAAAGGTGCCACATAAACACATATTCTCACTTTCATGAGTGCAGACATGAGGCCATTCAACAGCACATCTGTTTCATTACTTAATAGGCTCGAATAGAGGCCCTGCAGCTTGAGCTGAAATCCACCAAGGAGAAAATTGCACTGCACCTGAGCGAGTACCAGGAACTCCTGAATATCAAGATGGCTCTGGAGATAGAGATTACTACTTACAGGTACATGAAAAACAACCAGAAGTTGTGTTAGTAGGGTGTGCTTGAATAAAATACAATACATATTTAATATTTTTGTCTCTCTTTGCAGAAAATTGATTGAGGGGGAAGACCTGCGGCTGTCTGGCATGATGCAATCCCTGTCTCTTACCAGCTGTAGCATGAGCACCATTAGCGCTGGGGTGAGCCTTAGTGGAGGAAGCATGGATGCTGTGGGTGGAATGGGTGGTGGACTGATGGGGGATAGAAGAAGAGGAGTTGGAGGCATTGTCAATGGTGTAGAAATGGGTAAGGACACAGTTACAGGAGACCCCGGATACGGTCGTGATGGAGGTCTAGTCGATAGGACAGGTGCTAGAGGTAGGGTAGGTCAAGAGTCAGGAGCAGGAGGGATAGATGTCAGCACAAACAGTAGGGGTATGGGCACTGATGCCAGTGGAAGAGTCAGCGTTGGAGGAAATARTGATGTCATCATGGGCAGTTTAGGGTCTAGAAGCACTGGTTTTGGTACAGGAGGAATTGGTGCTGGTGGTTTAGATTCTGGAAGCACTGGTCTTAGCTCTGGCATTGAAGGACCTAGAGCTGGTGCTGGTGGCTTAGGTCCTGGCAGCACTGGTCTTAGCGCTGGTGTTGGAGGAGTTGGCACTGGTGGTTTAGATTCCGGAATCATTGGTCCTAGCTCAGGTATTGAAAGATCTGGAGCTGGAGCTGGTGCTGGTGGTTTAGGTTCTGGTAGCACTGGTTTTAGCGCTGGTGTTGGAGGAGTTGGCACTGGTGGTTTAGATTCCGGAATCATTGGTCCTAGCTCAGGTATTGAAGGACCTAGAGCTGGTGCTGGTGGTTTAGGTTCTGGCAGCACTGGTCTTAGCGCTGGTGTTGGAGGAGTTGGTGTTGGTGGTTTAGGTTTTGGAAGCACTGGTACTGGCATTGAAGGATTTGGCGTTGGTAGTTCAGGTTTCGAAACCACTGGTCCTGGTATTGGCATTGGAGGAGTCAGTACTGGAGAGATGACTGGTGTTGGAGCTGGTGGTTTAGGTCCTAGAAGCACTGGTCCCAATGTTGGAACTGGAGGAGGAGGTGCTGGTGACGTGGGCACTGGTCCTGTGGTTTTAGGTGTTGGTCCTAAGGGTTTGGACTCTGGGGTTGGTGGTGTAGGACTCAGCTCTGGAAGGTTAAGTGAAAGCAGTGTAGGTGGAGTTGCACTGGGTGCAGGTGGTGACACCACAGGTGGCATTGGTGGTATGGGAAATGAATTTAGAGGAGGAAATGGGGATTTAGGTGGAGGCACAGGCTATGGGGTTGGTGAAGGATTAGGTGGAAATGKAAGAAAAGTCCAAGTACAGGGTCCTACAGTAATGAAGGGTGGAATCAGAGGCAGTGCAGGATCAGAGCATAAAGGTGGAGATGAAGAGGGTGTTGCTCACTCAGTCTGTGGTGGAATGAGTAGGATTAGCAGAGGGAACGGTGACATAAGTGGTGCCCAGATTGGACATGGATCAGATGGACATGACAGCGTCACTGAGGCCTATGCAGAGCAGGCTGTGGAGCTGACGGAGAGAAGGACAGTGCTCATTAGGTAAAGGTACCATTGGGTATCTTTTCCAAGACTTAAGTCAGCTCAAATTTAATTTCCTATGTCAAATTCAAACAAAAATGAAACTTGATCTTGACTAAGAACTGCAGACTAAATCCATTATGACCTGATGCAACATCTGAGTGTGTTTACAGATTGCCTTGGGTCCTAAAGGGTTGAAATATATTAAATACTCTGTGAAAGCAGTAAGGTTAGGACTAAAGTAACTTGTTTGGGTTTAATAAGCACTTTCATTTCTCTCCTCCCTCTGCAGAACGGTGAAAACCGAGGATGATGTGGTGGAGATGGACCACCAAGAACAGACCTACACCATCTCTGGTGCTGCAGATGACTCTGATGTTGAATGAATAACAAATTTCCCCTCGCCTTTAAACCTTCACGCCCCTCTGAGCTTTGCACTGACCAGTTCCCGTGTCTGGGCACTGACCTTTGCCCTTTGGCCTGGGCAAGAAGACAATGTATGCTACAGACTGGTTTCTTCAAATAATAGAGTTTAAAATGACAAAACAATCACCATGCTCTCAAAACCTTTGTGTGTCTACACTCCCCCTATTCTAACTGCCATAAATAAAGCTATCAGCATTTAATTAAATCGTCTTTCTTTTATTTGATATCTTTTTGAGGTATTTAAGGACACTTAATGCAACTGAACTCTGTGATAAACTKAAAATTTTGTTCAGCAGATAGAGATGTGGATGTAGCCTGATGAAAAGTGAAATGAGGAAGTTGAACAGAGAGACAGGGCCAGAGACACCTGAGGCTGGACGCGCTCACCCTGACATTTTCTGGAGGGCTGAGAAGTCAGTCAGTCAAAACTCTGTCCTGCAACAGAGTGACGGCTCACAGCCGCTTTCTGTCCTCATTCCATCCATATCCACACCTTTTTCTCCTGCTGCTGATCGGGAGAGATCGGATCTAGCCGGCAGATGCCAAACACACTTAGTGTCCTGCTGAGAGGCAGAGTGGAGAAATGCAACAGACCAAACGTAAAGAGCACAACACCATTGTGTGAATACACACATAGTTAAACAAACAAAATCTTGAAAAGCAGAAATCGTGTTCGACTGTTAAATACAACAACGTGAGACTTAAGATGCTTCAGTTTGGCTGAGGTTTTAGTGTGCTGCTCAACATACATCATTTTAGCAGAACTTTGAAATGCAGTCATTCTCTTTTGAAACTACAAGGGTCCACACCAAAGAAAGCAATGATGTTTAACTGCTGCCTTTGTTGTCTTGTGATCTTTTAGCCGATTGCTAATTTGAAAGCTTAATTACAGACACGCTTTTTTTTAATGAAAATGTAATCTTTAACAGTGTTAATGCACCTTATGTAAAAATACATAGCCTGCAAAAAAAAATCAGCAAGATTTTTCAAAAACACGACACAAATATGGAGAAGAGAAACACAAGAAAGCAGTTAACAAAAGGCAATGCACACACCGGTTTGTTTATTTGTAAATTAAAAACTAAAGAGCTCAAAATTTTGTTTATGGTTTTGTTGTTTGAATTATTGTTTTCAAACAGAAAGATTTCTAAATGAGAACAAAAATTGTCCAAGTAATAATTACCTCTTTGGTTTACAGAGCTACTGCTGTCTTTTAGTAATCTATTTATTCACTATCTCTAGAACACTGTCTTTAATAGGATTAAAATCAGTTTTACAAAAGAAGAATGAAAAAAACTATCAAAACCTAATATTGTAAATTTATTTTTTATAAACAATGGTGTCAAGTCACTGGTTTATGACCTGAAAGGAATATGTGACAGAATCAAGCTGAACATGATCTTAAAACCAACAGATCACTATTAATAGATCCATTTTCCTGATATGAACTTCATGTACTTCAACCAAGTATTAGATTAGATTAGGTTAGATTAGATTAGATTAGATTTGATTGGATTTGATTAGATTAGATTAGATAGACCTTTATTGTCATCGTACAGAGCACAATGAAATTACAGTTCAGAACACCCAATCAGAAGAAGACAGAACATAACAAACATAGGAGAACAGGTGTCCTGGGTCATGCAGCCACTGACCTGTACAGAGCAAGGATCAGCTTCATGAAGACATCACGAGGAGATGCAACCCTTAACAGAAAAACTAAAAACTACACAAGGGAAGATGAGGGAAAAACAACAACAAAAAACCCCATCATATTACATTAACAATGTGACATAAATAAATAAATAAATAAATAAATAAATAAATAAATAAATAAATAAATAAATAAATAAATAAATAAATGTACCTAATTTTTAGATTTCTCTTTGACCAGTAATAAAATTAAAATCATTAAATATTTTTGTTTGGTTGGAAAAAAAACACAAATTTGGTGCAGTTCAGAGTTTAAAAACATCCTTTTTACTCTGTGACACAGTAACTGCAACCTCTAGGAGTGTTTTTGCAGTTACGTAACATACATTTGGCACTGAACATCTTTATGACTTCAATAATGCAGAAGCAAAAAGCAGAGGTTCTAATGTAAAACCTTGTTGAACTCCTGTTTTACAAATAGGGTTCAGTTTATCCCACTTTGACACATTGTTATTATTTAAGAAAAAAATAAARTAGCTAAAATACACCTGGTGACATTTATATCTTATTTTTAAAGCATCTTTATAYAATCTTATATCTTATATCTTATATCTTTATTAAGGAATGTAAGCAAAATCACATTGTGGTGTGCGTCTGTATTTTCAGCTTGTATGTAAAACAGCATCACTACAATGTGAAAAATTTGTAAGATTTCCGAGAAGAGACGTCACAGCAATCAATTTTTCTCTTGGACATCGTTTCCACAAGCTGATCCCAGCCGAACTCCGACGAGACAATTAGTTTGAGGCCAGAACTGTCAGCCGCAGACATAATGAGGAGGCTGAGCACGCGCAGGCAGGCCATTAGATCAGCCAGTTATTAATGTGCAGCCAACCTGAAGGAGGCCGAAAAACCCCTGTCTGCTTCCACTCTCTGCAGCCTGATGCCACTTTTATGGAAACCGTTGAATATTGGGTTATGTACCTGGGTCATCAACAAGGCGCAGGAGTGTGTGCTCGAAGAATGCGGAGCTCTCCATGGTGCTTTTGGAGACATGGTTTGGAAACGCGCGAAGAGCGTCAATAGTKAAGAAAAACTGTTAGTAATTTGCTCATTAAATAATTCTGACTTTATAATGCTCATTTAAAAATAAAAGAAGAATAATTTCAGTGGGTCTTTGATGTTGAAGTTATCAACGGGGTTGTACTGGTCAAAGCTTGAAAATAACATGCGCGATTTGACGTCATAATGCTAGATTGAATGCAATCAGTCAGCGCTCAGAGTATGTGTTGTGTACAACCCTCTACTACCACATTTTAGCTCAACATCTGTTAAACTGTTGGTTGTGACGACCACCTTGAACTTAAAAAATATGAAGCTGTAAGATGTTCCTTCAGTGATTACTTTCTGAGAGTTTCATCAAACTCATTAGATATTTTGCTAACAGACATAAAGAGGTAAAATCAGTAGTTAATAGTTTGAACAAAGCTTTTATGTGATGTGTGTGAAGGACTCTAGCTGTTACCACTACAAGTTTTAGCTCAATGCCAGAAAAACTGACTGCGTTAATCATGTGTTTTACAGACAGAGGGCAGTGGCGACTGTCTTAAATCGGGTTGACCCCCAAAGTAAATCAGTTATAGATATCATGATTAGGCCTGGGCCTGCTTTGTGCAAGTTTAATTAAAGTCAGTTCAACGGTTCGTGAGGTCTACTTTGCTAACAAACAGCGCGTAAACGTGCAGCGTTGCGCTCCTTTCGCCTTGATAAATATCAGGCCAGATTTAGCACGGGATAAAGTCAAAGCTGCATGTCTTGAGGCTTGCTCTTTGCCTTCCTAGATGTTTTTGGTTTGCAGAAACAAACCGCGCTGCCCGCTGGGTCAGTAACCTCCACCCTGTGAGAAAATGCCGGGCCGCACGGAATAGTCTCCAAGAGGGGCAAAAGTTGAGACTTTTCTTTGCAACCCGCCTTTTTTTGCGTCACTTTGTGCCGCATGCTTTGAGGGGTGGCTAAATCCCAATTAGGGTCGGCTGACACGCWGCTCCTTTCACGCGGAGCCCTGTCTGCATACATTTGCCTAGGAATGAACTCCTCACATAGATCTGCTGCTAAATGCGCCGGACAGCCGGGAGAATCGGCCTGACTGACACCCGCTTTCTGAGCCGCTCGAGTGAGAAAAGGTATGAATTTATAAGGTACACCGAAACATATCAATTCGCGCACTTTCGTGCGCCTTTATCCGCGTCCCTTCATGCGAGAGGAGGCCGGTTAGAGTGGAGAAGAAGGGGGATAAAACTCTTGAAAGCGGTGCAGCCCACTTTGAAGAAGGGGGAGAAGAAAGAAAGAAAAAGAAAGAAAGAGGGCATTTTGAATGAAATCACGCATGAACAACGTTGAATCAGGTGCCGTTTATTCGGCCACTCTCTAATGCGATTTTGAATATTAGTCTGGCTTAAAATCCCAATCATGTCATCTGGTGGGAGTCCCATACAAGCATCATTACTATTCAAACGAGTCGCTAATGTCCCACCCGCACCCAGGCAGCTGGTCTGCCCAGCGCGCAGCTTGCGTCTTTCCCGCAGGTTCCCCCAGACAAACATCTTGAAGATGGAGGGTTTGGGTTTACACAGAAAGAGAGAGGGAGAGAGAGAGAGAGAGAGAGAGAGAGAGAGAGAGAG